CTCTCTCTCTATCTATCATCCCTCTCTCTATCTATCTATCTATCTATCCATCCTCTCTCTCTGTGTCTCTCTCTCCCTCCTCCCTCTCTCTCTCTCTCCCTCCTCCTCTCTCTCTCTCCCTCCTCCCTCTCTCTATCTCTCTATCTATCCATTCCTCTCTCTCTCTGTCTCTCTCTCCCTCCTCCCTCTCTCTCTCTATCTATCATCCCTCCCTCTCTCTATCTATCTATCTATCCATCCTCTCTCTGTGTCTCTCTCTCCCTCCCCCCTCTCTCTCTCTGTCCATCATCCCTCTCTCTATCTATCTATCTATCTATCTATCTATCTATCCATCCCTCTCTCTCTGTGTCTCTCTCTCCCTCCTCCCTCTCTCTCTCTCTCCCTCCTCCTCTCTCTCTCCATCCCGTCTTCACGGTGACCTCTAACCTTCTGTCATATGTAAATATTAACCAACTCCTCACTTCCCTGAAGACTTTTAATTTGAAAAGCTTGAATCACTGCAGAGCAGAAAATTATTGATTAAAAATGTTTTGAGATGAAAATAAATGTGTCAAACTTCAGCATCAGACGTGAGTTTGAGTGTGTGAGGTTCAGAGAATTCTTCATGTTGATGTGAGACGTCTGAGGACGTCTGAGGACGTCTGAGGACGTCTTCACGACGTGGTTCTTTTCTCCGTCATCTGTAAATGAATTAAAAACTTCTGTTCACAAACTGAAGAGACGTGTTGCTGTACCGACGCTGACCAGCAGGTGTCACCTGACCTGGAGTAAACCCACTAAACGAGGCGGCCGTCAGGTTCGTCTGTCTCTTTCAAATCCTGTTTCTGTCTTTCTTCCTCTTGACGTAACCCCCCCTTCCCCTTTCTCCCTTCAGAGGTTCCACATCACAGGTGGACGCCTCGTGTCCTCGTGGGGGGGGACTTCCCTGGTGTTTTCCCTCAGTTGAAAGTGAAAGTTCAGACTTTCCTGTCGTGTCTTTACTGCAGATGTGGTGAACAGCTCAGTTTGTCCGTCCCTCTCTGTCTGTCTCAGCTGACGTTGGGCAGCGCCTGGTAGTTTTTCTTCTTCTGTGATGGCAGCAGAGGCGTCTGAGTGTCCACGTCCTGAGACAGCATCGACCTGCCGGCGCGGCGAAGGCTTCTGCGTGTCCACCCGTAGACCAGACAGTTGAGGAAACCCTGCGAGGCCGAGGTGAACGTCTGTGGACAGAAGACGGAGTCGAGTCACTGAAAGATTACTTTCTAAAGATTCAACTGAACATATTCACGTCACATCTGCAGTTTTTAACGTCTCGTTATTCAGAGACTAAAGTTTGAACATGGGGACACCCGCAGGACAGTATCAGACATGAACTCCGGAGAATGTCCACAACTTAGTGTCAGGAGTTTGTCTTTCACATGTGAAGAACACATGGTCTGGTTGTCTGTTCAAACATTGACACAGAAACATGGACATGTTGTCCTTAGAGAGAAAGTCCTGACCTGTGAGACGTAGAGGACGACCACGGCTTCACCCTGACACGCTGACGGCTTCACCAGCCGCAGGAACGCCAGAGCCACGGCTGAGGGAAGACAGAGCGTCACCGAGTCACGATTAAAATCAGAATCAGTCATGTGAACACAAAGGAACACGGAGGTCCCAGTCCCATCCCTCAGTAACCATGGTGATTGAATAAGGGGACAGACCTGGACCCCAGCAGAGGATGAAGACCAGTGGGTACAGCAGCGTCCGTCTGTCCATCACACGGAAAGAGGTCCGCTGGTCGTTGCCAAGGTAACCGCCTGACGTCACAACCCGCCTATAAATGCGACGCGCTTTCACCATGAAGACCTACAGCAGAGCGAGGACAGTGAGGACGCCATCTTGTTCAGTGGTAAATGAAGGTCAACGAGCGTGAACTCACCGTGATGCTGAGGAGCGTGAAGACGGAGGTCACGAGGAAGACGGCCATGGCGTAGGTGTGCAGCGAGCGGCAGCCTCTGATTGGCTGCTGGAGCTCCGAGGTCAGGTACAGCGCTCCGGTGTCCATCAGCAGACACCTGGTGTGGGACGGTGGACGATGAGGGACAAGACAGAAAAGATGAAAACCTCAGAAGAAGAATCAGACGATGATTTAAAGTAGAATCATCTCTCATGAGTCCTCGCCTGTACGGCCGACTGAAGTTACTCTGACACCGGCTGATGTTTCCTTCGATGAACACGGGCGTCATGAGCAGCAGAGGAACCAGCCTGTGGACAGGTCAGCACACGTGTGATTCACATACTACACGCGTGTTACGTGTATGTTCTTATTGCTTGTATGAAGATTTGAACTGACCCTGAGAGCAGAGCCGTGGTTTTCTCAGCTGTTCTCACTCTGTTCGAAAACTGAACACAAGAAAAACATTATTTACCTGTGAAAACTTGATGATTGGTGAATTTTGTGTGTTTGTTGTTGTAGCGACGCACAAACAT